ATCCCAAGCTAATCTCTTTTCATGGGTCCCCAATCCCATGGGATTCGTTTTGGTAAACGAATTTCGTTGATTCAAGGTAGAATTTAGGTGCATGTATATGCATCATCTTGGATAAGGATAATTTCCTGAGTTGGGGGCCTATTCTGTAATCAAATTCACCCAGCTTATGCCTCTTGTGTACTGCTGTGACTGGGGAGGTTGAAAGAGCAAAGAGGATTTTGCTCTTTTTTTGTTGTTACTGTTGTTCTGGCCGTTATGCAATTGAGTCTGTATGGGATGGGCTCATATGGACTTTAGATAATGCTTCAAAAATGCTTCTGCTGTAAACAAAATGACACTACTTAATTTGTGTACACTGAATTAACAAACCTCTGACAACAGAATTGCCATTATTAGTGTAGCAGTGTTTTTCCTTGTAAAAGCAACAGATCACATGTGCTTTTTTTTCCTGTGAAATGTTTTATTTTTAGGTGTTAACATATGCAGTTTTTTCCCATGCCTTTTCAAAAATTTTGTACCAATGCCTCAACAAATATTTCTTAAAATCTCATTCTGCAATATTGTCAATGATAGTGATGGTGGTTTTTTTCTCTAATTTTTTCATCCCTTGTGTTTCTAAGATTTTTTTTTCACTATCTGTTTTTTGTTTTTTTTTTACATGCCAGTTTTATTTGTAATTAATACTAAAACTACCACTTAAGCTGACAAAGATGGTTTCTAGGATAGATCAGCAGGCAAGCTAAATTATAGCATAGGAAAGTGTGCATTTATTTATGTTGAAATGCATATTATTTTAATGCTTATTGTCTTATCTTGCTTAAATAATTTTAATCATGTTTCACAAGTATTTTAATCTAGATTTTTGTTTGTTGTAAAGGAAGGCCTTCTATTAAAATGATGCAGTTCTGTGCCTGTACTGTTACTGGAGACAAAACATGACTCCACCTAGGAGGAGACTTCTGGCCTGAGTTTTTAAGATTGTGTATAATGGTTAGTTTGTAGCTTAGTTTTTAATAGCATTGGTTGCATTACTGGATCTGCAAGAGTGTTGTGGTTTTCATGATATTTTCAGTGCTGTGAATCATAGTAATAAAGCATATGATGGCTTCATTTATGGGTTTTTCTACTGATAAAATATTCTCAGACATACCTGCCATGTTACTGAGGATAGGCTTTAAAAATATCTCTACATTTCAGATCTGTGGTCTGCTTGCAAGCTGTGTCTCAGTCCCCAGGAGCTGGGCAGGCAGGTGGCCTTGTGGTGTTTCCCTTCCAGACAGGCTCATTTCGGGAATCAAGGCATTTGTGACATACCTTGAGAAGGGTGGGAATGCCAGCAGCTCCCCAAATGTTTCCAGCTTTTTTGTCCTCAAAGTAAGGAATGAACAGGAGGAAAAAAAATGGATGGGCCTGTTTAGACATTGTTCTTTTGGCTTACTTTGAAAGTAAATCCAACTTGAACAGCCTGGGAATGTCCCTCAGTGGGGTGTTGGGTGGGAGAAGAGCAGCTGACTGACCACCAGCAACCCTGGAGCTGGATGCCACGGGACACTGTGTAACCCTGGGGAGAAGCAGGACCTTCCAAGGTGCAGGCAGAGCAGCCCAGGCCAGGTCAGAGGGACGCTTGGCCAACTGCCCAGTGCCAGGAGCCCAGGGCCAATAGTGAGGGAAAAGTGGAAGAGCTGAGCAAGCATGTATGAGGCTTCTCCAGAGCTCTTTTCCAGAACTCCAACACTTTGTGTCAGGTACAGTGTCTGTGTGTTTAGCAGCTCCCAGTTACATACACTAGCTTGTCCATTCCCAGCTTGAACCTGTACAAACCTCCAGCATTCATGCTTTCCTGCACTATGTTGAACATTGCAATGGTTCTTTCTGATTAGTTTTGAGGTCACTGACCTCTTTTGTTACCTTCTAATTCTTGTGTTGTACAAGGCAGAGAATGATCAATGTCTTTGTTTTCTCATGCCAGACACAATTTCCAGATTTTTGAGAACATAACATATGATCTTCCAGAACATTAAAACATTAACAGCAGTGTCTTTTAAAAAGTAATAATTTTGTTAGACCCACATGAGAAGAACCTGTGTTTCTCCTTGTCATCCCCCCAAATACAACTCTAAGGTCAGAGTTAAGCCATTCTCTTTGATCTTAGTCTTTGTACTATATACTTGCTTTACTATCTTACATTTTATAATCTCTTTCATCTTTCTTGGCACGAAAACCTTTGTGTCCATCTGATAGGGAGGATGACATCTGTTTAACTGAGTCCCTCTGAAATAACAAAGAGTAAAGGTTGAGCCCTAAGCTAAAAAGGAATCTTTATTAAAGTTATGGAAACATAAACTTCTGCTCAAAGAATGTAGTCAATGCTGGGAAGCTATATCACTAACTTCAGCAAGCTAAACTAAATACATTTTAAGAGAACATCTGTCTAAATTACTGAATCTGGAAATGCATACAAGACCTTATAGAAGTCTTTGAGCTTCCCTCAGGGCATGAGTATCCTCAATATTTAATATTCACTTCTAAGAGGAGTCAGAGTATTGCAATCAGTAACCCAACAGCATCTCTTTTAGGTGCTCCTCAGTAATGGGTCATCTGCAGGCTGTGCCAGGCATCCATACAGATATTGGGGCTGGCCAGAATTAAAGGGGTTCACGCTGGTTCTGCAGCAGCCAAGGGAGTCACTCACTCTTTCTTTCACCCTTATTGAGAGCTGCTCATTACATCCTTTGCTCTAAGGCTGATTGTACCTCTTGTCAAGGGATTTCAGTTACTTAATGCAGTAAAACCATGGTTTTGTGGAACCCTCCCAAGTGTATCTTGATGAGTGCCAGTGCTGACACCAAGAGTATTTTGATGAGTGTTAGCTCTGGCACCGAGGGTGTTTTGATGAGTGTTTGTGCTGACACAAGGTTGGTTCAGGGCTTGCTCCTGAGGGGACACTGAGACTTCCTGCTTTCAGCAGTGACCAGCTGTGAACTCACTGAGTCAGAGGAGAGCCCACCTCAATTGTCCCATGGATGCTCCCATTCAGAAATTTGTTAGCATCCCTCATTTTGTTGCCTCTGTCCCTTACACTTAGACACAAAATATTTTTTTTTAACATCCGATTTCCATTGGCTCATTGACAGTCCTTATGCCTTTGAGATTTTGCCAGTATCTTCTATAGCCCAATTAGTTACTCCTGTATCGTGGTGTGTAAATTGAGGTCTGTTCACATTCCCTCACAACTCCATTTTTTGATAGACTTCAGGAGCCCCTCTGCATTTCCAAGTACTGGAACTTTGTAAGCAAAGCTGTCCAGTACCTGTCTGCAGTATTTAAAAAGAGGTCTCCTTTGGGCAGTGATATTACTCATACCTCAGTTTGACTGGAAATACATCTTTGACGTATTCTGGGATGACAGCTGTGTTTTCCAGGAAGAAATTCTATTGATCTGCCAAATCATTTTGCCAGAAACAAGTGTGGTCATATCTCTCTTCCTTATAAACCAGGCCTTCCAAAAATTTAATAGAAATTCCCTCCAGCCCTTAAGTGCATAAATTTGCTGTTTGTACAATTGAATTTGATCCTATTTCTAATAACCAGTCTTGAAGATCATCCAGGTCTTTCCTATGGGAGTTTTTTCAATCTTTTTTCTTTTCCATGCTTTCCAATTTAATGTTATCAGCATATTTCATTGGAATGCTCCTGAGTTTTGTGCCTAGGTAATTAATGCAAATATCAAGCTGGCAGTTTTTAGGGATGATATTGGAGGATCCATACTTCCAACTTTGTCCTGCTTGGGGCTCACTCAGGGTAGTCACCAATGTCTCTGTGAGCAAAAATGTCCATGGTCCTGCTGCCTGCTTGGCCAGGATAAAGATCTGGAAAGCTGAGCAGCCACTGCCCTGGGGCTGCTCTGCTGCTCCTGCCCTCCCTCATCAGGTCAGTTCTTGTCTATGCTCAGGTGCTTTGCTATTTGAAGGAGAAATAATAAATTTTTGCCTCTTCTGCTGAGCAGGTTTGTGCTCACTGCCTCCTGGCCCAGTGGCCAACCTGCCTCTTGCCAGGTTTTCTTTACCAATTCGTCATCTCTTCCAGCTTAATTGTCACAGAGGTGGAACAATAACAAGACTTTATACTGATTTAATCTCAGTAAAATTTTGTAGTCTTTGAACCTGCTTAGTGAAATTTACGATGTAGATAATGTGGTCTCTTCCAATCTTACCAATTCTGTGATTCTGTGGTTTGCCTGACTAGAAAATAACTATGAGGAAGATAATTTGACTGGTTTAGCATTTGAATGTCTTAGTAAATACAGCCTGCATTTAATTTATATATGTTTGCCTCAGGTCTGATTGTTTTTTCTCCTTGGTGTTTGTTCCAAGTCCTTGTGTACTTGGAGGCTGGGATTGCTATTGCCCAGAGCCTTTTCCTCTGGCATTGCTGAAGCTGCAGGGCTCCCAGGGAATGTGTTCATCTGCACTGTGAGCCTGCCTGGGCTGCAGCTCCTGGGGCCCATGGCTTTGCCTGCCCATGCAGTGTTCACCTGAGCCCACCATCTTGGTCTTACAAGGTGATGTCATTGTTGTGCCATTGTGTCCTTTGGAACCTGCCAACACAGCTGCTGTTTCCCTCAGACTCCAACTGATGTCCCATCCTTCTGCTTTTTTGCTTTTTTTGAAGTTCACCTAACTTCTGTGCTGTTTCCTTTTAGCAGCAAATAGAGGAGTCTCTTGAATTAGAGTCAGTGTCAGTGGCTGGTTTTGGACCTTCCATGAAGAAACTCCCCTCAGTTTTCCTTGTCCCACCTTCTGCTATGGAAATCAGTATATCCCATGCACTGTGTAACTCCACTGGACATAGTTGTTTCAATGATTTTTATGAACATTTTAGGGAAAGTATCTTGCAGGTTTTGCCCTTTTCAAATGTAAATGTTTAATCAGTGCTTGCTGAGAGGTAGTACAAGAACACATGCACAAGGCTCACAGTTCTTTCTTTTTGTCTTCTTGCAGTGACCTGCTGTCTTCTGAATATCTTGAGAGGCATATCGAGCAAGGTGGGAAGACAGTGGAAGTTAAAGTAAGAATTTCTTTTTATGTTTCTCTTTTTTAATTTGCTTGGCTTTTGATGTTCATGAAAACTCACATATTTTTGTGAAAGGAGGGATAACTGATTTTTCAAGTGATTTGTTTTACTATTCTGAGGCAAGCATGTTTCTTGTTTTCTAACTTTCAGCTTTCAACAAGGCAAATACACTCCTTAGCCAAATTTAGTACTTTAATGTTTATATCAAAATGGTATCCATGAAAAATATATTCATAGTAGTTCTTTTTGCTAGTAAGAATACTTCACTTTTGATACTTAATGAAGAAAATATTTTTGTTTTGGTAGGTAGCATTTTCTCATTGTACCAAACCTCAAGTTTGGTATGTTATGAGCTTCTTTGTAAATTTGAGAATAGCAATATTTATTGTATAATATTTCCAAATATCTAGTCATAAGTTGTGTGTTTCTTTCTCTGTGTGTTTGTTGGCATAGTGACTACAAGATGCTATTTGTTGCTGTTGTCTTGTGTGAAATGTCCCACAGCCTTTGCAGAAGTGTTTTATTCCTTGCATGCAACATGGGAGATTTTTCTTGTGGACTCTGTATTTGTTAGGACTTATTTTGTAGATGTCAGCTATAATTTTTGTATCAATTACTATAGATTACTTAGAGTGTTCAGAAATGTATTATATATGGTACAAAATGGAAACTCTAAATTTGCCTATCAGGTAAATATTAGGTAAAATTTTGTTCAAAGTTTACATTTTATTAAAAGAAATCCCCCAAATTGTTTTACTAAATCTGAGATAATAGAAATACTTCAAAACAAATGTGTTAATCTCTGCAGCGTGAAAGTGGAAATGGCAATGGGCAAAGCAGTCCTTTATCCACTGGATAGCTGAAGATGCAAGTTTCCTTTGGTTTATTCCCTTCTGTCATTTGCAAATAGGAAGTCTGCTCTCCCACTATTATCTAGATAATAGTCTGCATACATTATCAGACTGAGGCAAACACATACGTGTCCCATTAAACTGTAAAGACTAATTTCTCAGTCAGCTCTGCTCTGCAGTCAAGAAGTCTTGCTTGACTGAGGTTCAGAATATGAGTCAAAGCAGAAATAAAGATAATAGCTGATATTAATAAGAGAAAAAACAACCCATTTGTCTGCATTAAGATATATATATATGCAAGTTAGTTAAGTTAATCCATCACTGTCACTGAATTGTTCCTGATGAGCAAGCCTTAATCAAGCAAGGAAATGTTTGAAATCAGCAGCTCTTCATATCTAAGTAATGTTTAATTGAAGGGAAAGTGATGGGAGGATCAGGCCTTTCAGAGGAAGGGTCAGAAAATGTTCTGGGTAAAACAGCTGTGAGCCTCAAGGGTCCCAGAGATTATTTCCCCTTGATTGAGATACTGAGCCAGGGTCAGGGTATACCTTCAGGGATGGCTATCACTGCCTTGCTCAGAATTCTCAAATCTGCCTGAAGGAGAAAACTATCATTGCTGCATTGAGCTTGATACTTGAGATGAGCTGAATTGGCAGTGAAAGGGGCTGCAAAGACTGCACTACAAGGGAGAGGGTTTGCTGTTCAAGTGGTGGGTTTCCCTCCCATGCTGCCTGTACCATGAGCAGGGGGCCAGGGGTGGCTGGGCTGTTCAGGTGGGCTCCTCTGCCCCTTCCATTCCACTGCTCCAGGGGTTCTGGAGGCAGCAGTCCTATGGAAGCATGCTAGCAAAGGGGATGTAAGGTCTTTGCTTGTTTTGTTGCACCTGAGTGTGTGGGATTGGCAGGGAGGGAAGCAGCTCTGTGAAAAATGTCAGAAGAGCCTGGTGGCCACAGTCATGGGAACATTTTCATAAAAGTTCAGATACCAAAAGATTTTTGGAAAAATGCAGGCTACTGAGTACACTTTAATAATACCAGACACTGGGTGAGGCTGATTTCAGTGCTCAATAGCTGTTTAAAAATTAATCTGGTTCCCTCTGACCAGTCAGTATTTTTCAGAGCACCTGTAAGTTCTTTTGAGAGCTTTGTTTGTCTGTTGAACGATTTCTGAAAAGACTGGCAGTATCTGTTTGCTTTGGTTTTACGTCAAATGTTTTGAAAATCTTATTGCAACTATAAGAAATTTCCATGATGGTGATTTGTTACCTTTGATTACTGTTGGAATTCTTTACCATAACTGGTAACATAATTATTATACTGGATTTTAGGGGTTGTGCAGATTGCTTAGATACTTACTTAAAAACAGCTAGTGAAAGGGTGCAACTTATGGATAAACCACAAAATATGCACTCCACTATGCAGCATATTCCAAAGCAGAAGCTGAAGAGGTATTTCAGAAAGGAGACAGGTTTCTATCAGTTGCTTCAACATGCTGCTCTTCACCCATCTCTGTGCAGTTTATCTTGGGCTGTAGGCAGAGACAGAGGCGGCCTGGCAACATCTCTCTTGCTGCTTTGGTGGGAGAAACAGTGACAGAAAGAAAATGTCCATCTGCCATCCACTGCCAGCTGCAGGCTTTGAGCAAAGCTGCTCATAGAGCAAATGGCCTCCTCTGCTCATGGCCTTCTTACCAGAGAGGTGTATCTTAAAATTCATACACATTGCCCCTTGCATTTCTCTGGGCAAGAAGACTGCCCTGACACACAAATCATTGGTGCTGCTGTTGTGCCACCAGCAGAATGGGAGAATTTGAGGCGCGGTGTGAAGGCAGCTGTACATGCAGCAGCTTGGGAATGCGTCTGGAAAGCGGATCCTGCCTTGGCTCATATGCAGTGTGGAGTTGATAACTACTTTTGCCACTCCTCCCCCTCTCCTTCCCTCCCAGTAAAACTTCCTGTGCTGGAAAACACATATGGATCTTCTGCCATTACTGGGATGCTTCAAAGAGGAGAGGGGGGCAGGGGAAGGGAGTAATGTGGTAATGTATACCATAAAAAATAGCACTTTTTAATAGCAAAGGGATTTTTACTGCGAGAAGAGTCCTCAGTTTAACATACCTTTTTATCATAAGAAGACATTACATTATGTTTTATTCCTGCATAATTATTAATACATTAGACCATTGTGAAGGTGAAAGATATTAAAAATGTTTTTGCAGGGTGCCAGCATTTAGCTGCTGCAGAGGAGAGGCTTCTTGTTAATTTGGCACAGTTAGGCAGCACCTAACACATTCTTATTAAACCAGCAGCAGTGTGCAATGCCTAAGAGAAACAGAAGGAGCTAGATGCTCAAATTATTTCAGTGTTTCCCCCCACACCCTCCTTTACTGTACATCTCATCTCTACTAGGAAAGCAGAAGGGTTGGCCTAAATTCCTTCTGGTAGCAAAGAGAATAATCAATTAATAAGAAAGAGAAAAACCCTTCTTGGCATTGCCTTTTCCTGATTGTGTCACTCCAGACCATCCAATGCTCATAGCACATCAATACTCAACCTGTGTGTACCTAATGTTGTTGCAATATATCTGTGTGTCCTTTTATCTCTCTTTCTCCCCCTTTTTTGGTTGTCATTCTGTCACTGATGCTGTCAGTGAGATGAAAGGCAAAAAACAGCTATAGTGCTGAGTAATTCACATTGCTGGATTTTTCACCCTCAGAAGAAACAACTGATATCTATTCAGTGATATTTTCTCAATAGAATGTTTCAGTTTTCTTCTTCAGAGTGTGTAGAAATAAATGTTTCTGCTTGTATTTCCCCAAAACAATGTACACTTCTACAAGTTCTTAGGAAATTGCTTTCTGAAAAAGATTAAGCCATAAAAAAAATTCAGTCAGAAAACTTGCACAGGTAGAGGTCTGGTGGATAAATACCAGAAAATTTTGATGGCATGTTTAAATATGAGTATAGAAGGAACTAGGCAGTCCTTAAAGTCTAAAATTCTTGAGTGTGGTGGTGTAAGCACAGCATGTGCATTATGGGCACAAAATTACAGTGAGAGTGCTTACAGCATAAACTGCTGCTTTTTGCTTCAGCCTCGCAGCATTTTCCTATGATAGCATTGAACAACGTGAATGGAGGCATATCAAATGCTAGGTGCTGTTTTTACTCTGTTGTGGCATTAACAGAGGAGCTTTGGCCAGCCTTGTCCTGTGGGTTAGGGCTGCCATGTGGCTGTGTGTCCCCAGCTGTGCCGAGCCCTTCCGCTGGGCCCTGCAGAGCTCAGACCATGCCCACTGGGCTTGCTTCAAAGCACCCACAGCCATCCTGCCCAGCTGGGGGCCCCAGCACGGCCTCCTGCTCTCTGGGGGTCCCAGCAGAGGGGCCACCATTGGGGTTTGGCCAATGGAGGGTTTGGGGCAAATGCATTTTAATGCTGCACAGCAAAGCAGAGCTGTTAGCTTGCAAAAATAGTCATTATGTTGTGTGCATTGACTAGTAGTGTGTGCAAGATGACTGTTATTGTAGCTTACAGCTATTTTAATGCTTCTGCACAAGGAGGAAAAGTACTGTTCTTCATTGCCTTGCTGTGCTTAAAGCCTTGGCTAATGTGTGCCATGATGTGTATTTGAAGGACTCTTTAAATGCCCTTTTTAAGGAAAAATGATCCATAAGGGAGAAAAATATTAAAATCTTGAAAAATCAGAGGAGTCTGGGTACCCTTGATTGCTTTTTCTGTTAAAGTTTCTCCTTCAAGTCTGGTCTGCTGGAGCAGTTGTTAAGGTGCAGTCCCATGACCAAGGGCAGTGTGTGTCTGTGCACACTTGTGCCTGTGTTTGATGAGACCTTATCCAAGTAGCATTCCAACATTTCATTGTTATCTCCACAGGTACAAACTGATCACAAGTCTACAATAATTTGTGGTGCAGCCAGATTAAACACTTCACCAGTGAGCAGGTCATTTCAATAATTGACTGCTATGTTTCCAGTCTTATAGCAAGGTGCTTCTAACCATCATCTTCCAGTTAGGGCACTCACTGTCTGAAAAGAATTTCCTATTATTCTTCAGGTTTTGGTAACTCACCTCTTTGTAGCCAAAGGGGAAGGTGTTTCAGTTGCCAGGGAAGCATGTATGCTAAACAGGCTTT